GTGCCCCTGCTATGAAGCTTGAAACCTTGTTTTTGCAAAATAAATTGATGCAATTTGCTATTATAGGCCTAATCAATAAATTCCTCATCAACCGATATAACCTTAAACATTCTTGGAATTGACATAATATTACTGATGTCATACACACCCTGTCTCTTATTCACATCATACACACCCTTCAGTGTGAAATGTGGCTCTCTTTGCAAGCACATCTAACATCTAAGGAAAGAAGAGCTTAGATTGGTACCAAATAAAATAATTTTGTTATCAACATTAATACATTATGCAAATTTTCATCTTTTTAAGCCCATAAGACAGTGCAAGTTATTTCTTTTGAAGTGTAAAAAGCTCCATTTTTTCCCATACATAGTCAAAACATTGGGGGGGGGGGAGAGATGATACAATGGACCATCCCCCACCCCTTGCCAAATATTGGGGGGGATATATCCCCCCATCACCCCGGGATCTACGCCTATGCTAATTGTATTGATAGCATTAAAGAATAAAATAAAGTCAGTAAAACTAAAAAAAAGACCAAAGCAACTTAATTAAAATATAAAATTGATATATTTATTGAAACCTCACAAAATGAACCCCAAATTATAAGAAACACAGTACCTATATGAATGTTTGTAGCCTATTTAAATTCGATCAAATTATGAAAATATAGTTCAAATATTATTCCTTCTGTAAACTTATTGAATAAGACTGCATAATATATAAGGCACATGAAGTTTCAGAAACAAAATGTAAACATAATAGCAGTTTCTCATCACCAGTAAACTGTTGCCAATATATCTTTCAAGTGCCAGTCATAGCCACAGTTAACAACTGACCAATCAGAACATGGCCAGAACAAATCATTTTGTCCCACAAATGCATATGTTTGTGTACGTTTAGACGGTTTTTTTGTGGAATTAGCCAAAATATCAAATGGACGGCTTAGAAGAAAGGCTCATTCTTTATTCCTTGTTAAACAGTAGAATAACAAAGGCTGAGTTTTCAGGGTTCTTTTCAGTGCAGTTTGCTTAATGCTGTTTACGAGTCCAACCGGTAGTTTGGGTTCTGGTACTCGGCATTCCACCTGCAACAATATAGTTCAACCTCTAATAAAAAGACTAAAAATAAACCAATATCACATAAGCACAAACTTTTAGATTGAGTGTGAAGAGTGCAAATTGAGTCTAAATATAAGTTTAAGTACAGCTGATACATAATCACCTACAGGTAATAAACATAAATAATTTCATAAATCATTGCATATGATGAAACCATAAATCATAAAAATAACAATACTGATTATTATTAATAAAATTGCCCTCTGCACTTTACAAAAAGTAAAACCTCCCAATCCACCACTTTGTTCCTATGTTTATGTTTCCTGGAAACAATTTAGTCAAATTGATGCAAATATAAAATTAGCATAATTATACAGGTGTACCCCATTATAACAATTAATCTTCTTATTAACACTTTCCACTTTGCCAGGTTTGAAATTAATCACCGTTTAACAGAACGTAAGTGATCATAGCAACAATGTATTTCAACTACAGTACTATCAACAGTGGCATGAAGAACAACATAATTAAATACAATAGCCTGTCAGTGCTTCAATTCATACAGTTGGTAATAATAAATATATTACCACCACATTCCACATAAATGTGCCCTAGAATATTAGTTACAGAACTTACTACCATAATAATTTCACCTCAATTAATTTAAAGAAAATAAATTTCTCAAATCGTTTTTAAAAACCGTAAAATACCAACAGAAATAAATATTAAACTCACAAAAACTTTTCAAAATCTAATATAAACCTGATATATAAAATGTCTCATGATCTTTTGAGTGTAAAGTTGCTTTTAGTCTAAGTAATATTCCAATTGAATTGATCCCTATAGTACAGGAAGGCAAGCATGTTGACGACTAAGCTACAGTTCCACTAAAAGTTGGTAAATTTTTGAGATAATTTGGTGTAAATCATATACAGGTTTTGTTTTTTGCATTGTTTTCTTCCAACAGATTTTGAGAGTTTTAGAAAAGTTATTATCTTCACATTCTTAAAGTTGCCTTTACATAAATCTGATAAAAAATGCAATACTGTAATTCAACACAGAAGAGATCCTTCAACAAACCTATTAATATTAAAATTAATTAATTAACATAAATACAAAATGACAAGCGATAAAAAAAAAAGAATATGGTGAGAATGTGATAAAACATAAAATAGAAACTCAAATTAGACAAATAAATCACATTTACAGGACAGTGTTCCCCTTTTTGATCATCTCTTAGTCATTAGTAAATAGAAGGCCTTAAGGTGGAAATATTAGCACAATTAAAAAATAACTTATCATGAATGTATCTGTAGCATATAGTATAACTTAAATAGTAATAAAAGGTACCAGTCACAAATTGTAAGTAATTTAAGTAAGCAAAGCAAAGTATAAATACAAACCAGAGGGCATATCTTTAAATGCCGTAAATTACTGTTTAATAGTGGATAACTGGTACAGAAATTCTTATAAGCATGATACCATGGTTTCAGAATTCTAATCATTAGGATTCTGCATCAGAAGTACACAGTACAAGTATCACAATCTTTACTTCTGCATAAGGCATATCTTTATATGCTGGTAAACTACTGTTTTCAGTGTTCAATAGTTAGTAACTAGTATAGAATTAATTATGAAACATGATACCATGGTCTCAGAATTGTAATCATTAGAATTCTGCATCAAAAGCACACAGTACAAGTATTACTATCGCTTTACTTCTGAATTAGAAGTACAGAGATAGTGATACTTTTTCAAATCTACAATCCTTCGCCACATTCAAATACATCAGGCCAACAATGCACCTGACTCACAATGCTTCAGAAATTATGCATCAGCCCCACATCATATTACCTAAGACTGATACTCAATTAACTGAGAGTTCCTTATTTGGACAGACCCACGACACCTACGATATACGGTGACAGACTAAGGTTCAGACCCACCAGCCTCTTAAGTTCATCAGAAAAAACACTGGAAGTGTCACAAGCTAAGCCCCCACAATGCTCTATGCCTTAAGGCAAACTCGAAGCAGCCAACCTATTGCATCTGTGATTGTCTCACACAAACCTGACGTGTCAGGCTAGGCTGTACAATGATGCCTCAAAACACTGTTTGAGCAACAAATAAGCATATTAGCCCTTTCATGGAAACTTACAACCAGTGATTTAGTTAGTTTATCAAGCAACCTAACATGATCACACCAACATACTGTACAGTACTCTTACACACTGAGCTCACTTACAACTCTGTATTATATATTGGAATAGATCTTATATATATTTTCTTTGTAGATTTAATTTTCACATAAACTTTGGTGACATGTTAAAGTGCAAATTAATTATTTTTTAACCAGGCATAATTATATTGGCCTCATTTTGTTATCGTCATGTCAACACCCTCACTTCCAGCTACATATCTTGACTCCAGTCCATATGGTGTCGATTTTTTAACCCACTGAATATAAGAAAGATAAAAAAGATAATAATTATAGTAACAATAACAGTAAGAATAACTAGAGTAAGAGTAACTACGGTAAAAGTAACAAAAGCAGTGACGGTAATAATAACTGCAATAATAAGCAATTAGTAGAGCTCTGCATAGTACACTATCAGAAAATTATTATACGAAGGGTAGATTTAATGCTTGAAAAAATTTTCCAAGGGCCTGCAAGGCCTGAAGGAAATTTTTTAATGCCTTAAATCTAACCTAAGTATAATAATTTTCTATTTAGTGTACGATGCATGCTCTACTAATTGGTTTATAAGTCAATCGCCGTCTTTTAATTTTAGTTTTTTCAGTATATGTGTGCGTATTTACATTTAGCTGTGCGTATGCTGATTTTTGCTCCAGCAGTACGTGTTTAATTAAATACACATCAGCAGTACAGTACGGATACGATGAATAACTAATGTAATTGTGTTAGAAAGAACTTGTTTGTAATGCTATTTGGTAGACTTTCAGCATTCGATAGAATGTCACTGATGTCCTTTTTGGTCGGTGCATGCAGACAAGTAAAATCTTGCGATGATTTCATAACTAGGCTAGACTATGGCCGGGGCTACGGTCTAGTAGTAGTAGGAGGAATGGGGGACTTCCTGCCTGGCCATAGGCCTACATCTAAATTTGTTGCTTGAGTCTTTAAAATAGGTCTAGAATATTCCTATTAAACATTCAGTTTGTTGTGTTTATGAGGGTCCAAGGATTCAATGAAATCATTATTTGTTCATATTTAATATTGAATTTGAAGTAACTTTCTTTGGGTTCTAATTAAGCTTGTTTTACGAAAGTAATTTCCGATTACAATTCAATTTTTATCGCGGTGCGCGATGTCTTCGCGGTGACGTAAAAAAATCAAGCCAAGCGTCCACTAATAGAAAAATTAGTGGACGCTGGGGAATAGGCAAATAACATTGGGAGTTACAGTGATGACGTCACGATTGACTTATAATAATAATTAGACAGACTACACAGAATATAGAGATTTTCCTCAGTGACAAACAGAAGAGAATGTTTTAAAAATCATTAAAAAAAATATAAAATGCAATAGAAGAAAAAATACCATGAAAAACAACTCAAAGATGCTGAAACTCAAATACAGACTGCAATGGTATTGGTGAAGGATGCGGAGAGTTATAGAATCCGATCCTGTGAAAGCCAGGGGATTTCCAATTTATCTAGCTTGTGTAACCTTATAGGTTGAAGGCAAAAAAGTTTGTATACATTTTGTGTTGAAACCAGCTATAAGATAACTAGTTTGAAATGCTTCAGAAAACACCAATTTTAAGTTTTATTACCAGTTTATTGATATTAGAAATATGTAAAATGACACAGTCTTTTACTAGGCACACCTTTAATATACAGCCTTTGCTTTGACCATGGACCTATGAATATCAAGGCATGAAAAGTGATTAAGTGGAGGGAAACAGAAGAGAAAAAAAACCAAATATGAACAAAACAATACCTTTTCCACAATTGTGGAAAAAAACAATAGGGGAATTCCATGTCAAATCAACCAAAAAAAAACCTCAATCTCTCAGAATTTGTTCAAGTTTTTGTATGTTGTTGGGACCCATGAAAAATGATCAGAAATGAAAAATTTTTTCTCTAGGCCTCCTAATTAGCAAGATATCTGCTAACGAACTTTTGGCTAATTAGCGATACCTTGCGTGTTTAACCGACCATATCTCGAAAAGCGTGGCACCTACAGAGCTGATTTTGGTGTCATTTTAAAGCTATTGAGTAGCTCTATAACTTTATTAATAAATGCTAAGTCCTCAATTTAAATATAAAAAAGTTATGACAGGTTGTAAAGTTCAAAGTTGAATAAAAAAAAAAATATCTTTTTTTTTTTTTGAAATTCATGTTAGAGATACCTAATGATGTAAAGAAGCTTCCCTATAAGTTTGGTGATGGGCGCTCCAAAAGTTCCTGAACAATGAGCAAGTATTATGTATACTTGTCAATTCGAAATTGCATTTTCCGTATAATAACACAGTATTGTACCTATATAGGAAAACCAATACTGCTTAGTTTTATATGTAGGTATGAGAAAATTAAACTTGCATCACTTGAAAATTCTCAGGTGGAAATTCCTTGGGATTTTCCAGGTGGATATTTCTTTGAATTTCAAAATAGGAACCTGGTATTCCCATCGGAAAATCCCAGATTAGCACTGACCTACAGTATCAGGA